CATTCGTAAAAATGTTAACTTGAAAAGCATATGCAAACAAATTTAATCCCCCCAAAAATAAATTTTATTTTCCATCATCGAGCTCCAAAACACGCTGCGAAATGACGAAGGCGGTGACGGTGGTGGCCGGCGGCGCCGCCTTGATCGCTGTGTATGACGTCGCTCACGTGGCGGAAGTGGTCGACACCACAGGGGATGGCGATGGGCCCCTTCTGGTTGAATCCGTACTCCTGGGCCGCCGTGTCGAGGAGCTCCGCGAAGAGGGGGTGGTCGAGGTACGCCACCGGCACCACGAATCGCCGCTGCTCCTCGCCCTCCTGCCCCACCCTGACCGCCATGCACCCCTTGGGCGGCATCTCCGCGGCCGCCTTCACCTTGGCAGCACCGAGGCGCGGCATGCGAGGCTGCAGGAAGCCCAGCGAGCGAGGACGGCGATGGCTTCTGATCTCCTAGTTGGTGTTGCCCTGGAAGAGAGACGAGCGAAGGCTAGAGGGAGAAGGGCCAAGGATCGGAGCTGGAGATGGCGAGGCGGAAGAGGGTGAGGGAGGAATCACGGAGAGAGTTGGGAACGTTGGACATAGTCAGATGTACAACAATACTTCGAGGAATGACGACGTTGTTGCAGCTGCTCGGCAAAGAGAGAGGCTAACGAGTATTTAAGATGGAGAGAGAGAAGGGGGGACTCAGAGGAATACTTCCTCGTGTGGTTTTGGCGGAGAGGAAGGGCTTCGGTTCCTTCGCCACCAAGCGTCGAGGTGGCAACGGGATGAGAAGCTGCCGACCCCTCGGAAGTCAAAACGGTTGGTTTATCCGCGTCTTCGACTCCGTCGTCGGCGCCGGATAAATCCCAATGCATGAACTGAGGCGTGAGGTCAGCACCAAGCCAAGGTTAGTAGTATACGTTTGCGCTGCACGTGCGGTGTGGTCAGCGATTAGACCTGGCTCTCTGGAACAAAGAAGAAGAAAGGCATCGGCTGCCGCACTTGGTATTGTTCTTTTCTCACTGAACATTAGGATAAGAAATAACAGAATAAATTCCTTTCCCTCATTGATTCTCGACTAGCTTTATTAATTAATATACAAATAATTTATTTAAATAGAGAAGCGTGCGGGTGAGTTCTGGCCACACAACAGCCGCTAAAAGTCAACGCTTTTGATTCTTTTCCATTATCAACTTCCAAAGACAAATATTAAATAAGGGCAACAATATATATATATATATATATATATATAACACATTTCAAAAGAGACAGAAGAGTTTCACAAAACAAATCCAAGTTAAGTTTCAGAACTCATCTACTAGCAAAGGAACCAACACCACCATGAGAAAACAAACAAAACCTCATCATAGCTTGCACCCGAAAACTTCTGTCGCTCAATTATGGCAAAACTAAGTCAAGCAAATCAAACCCTCAGATAAACTACGAAATATTTCAGTCTTTAAGGAACTTACATGTCGGGGGAAGATTGGTCATCTTAAAGATGAGAACACCATTTTCTAATTTCCTTCTTCCATGCAGAAAGAGAAACAAAAGTGAAACAAAGTCGTTGGATACCTCTGGCAGTAACCCAAAGGCATGGAGGACGCATTTTGATAACTCATAGAAACAAGGAGGTAAATGTACATATCTAAGACCAACTACAACAAAAACAGCTGACATGCTAATCATGTTTAAGAGTATACTAGGAGCAAAAACCACATTTATAGATAGCCAAAACAGCCAAAATTAAATGAGCACACTGCATGTGCAGAACCGCATGATGGTATATTTACTCACTTCCCTCGGAGTAAAAGGATGCCAGTGACATAATTACCTGAGATAAGTCGAAGAAACCCAGAGAAGAATGTAACTCAACAGAGAAGTGCTCACCTCCAAACTCCTAGGGCCCTGAAGTAATGGTGGCATTACAGAGACCATCAAGAATGTGCCCAATAGCCATGAAGCAAAGAAAGCTCCAATCCTGCATGACTAAAACAGTCAGCATTAATGGGAGAGAGAAACTTTGTACTAGTAGGTGGATAAATGTGCAAAACATCGAATATCATGAAAGTTACGTCTACAACAAATGTGGCAGATAGCACTAGATGAGTAGAAAAATGTCACCACACAACAATATATAGAGAATATACCATATAATAGAATTATTACACTTGTCTAAACCTCCAGGGCAAAGAGATTTTGGAAAAGGGAGGACAGATAGGAGAACATTACATCTGAAAGATACGTCTTATGAGAGCAAAATTTTTCAAAGGAGGTTTACCTCAAAAACCCAAAGGTCAATTTCTCTTATACCTATACAACTTGAAGAGGCCTACAAGCATATTTCAAACTATCACTAATTTATTATGTGTTAATCAATTTACACAACATATCTATGAAGAAGTAAACAAACCAATAATGGATGCTTCTTAATGTTTAAAATATTTTGCTAGTACCTATACTAGATCCTTATCAGACCAGTACATACATATGGCACAACACATCTTTATACATCAAAAAGAAAATTAATTATTTATAATAAGCTGGTTACCAATAATACCTTGATATTTCAAACCATGGTGTCTATAATTACGGAGAATTTGTGCTTTGATTTTACATATTTCTCCCCAAGAAAACACTATTTTTTTCCAGATGTCCAAAATATTACACGATCCACATCTCCATGCTTAACTTACCATCTAATAAATGTTATGGAGAGTCATATTAATAATTTAATCAACAGATCCATTTAGTACAAAAGAAAATGCTTTTTCAACAAAAAACATCGAACAAGGAACTTTCTGCAAGATGAAAATTATTTTTATTAAAAGCAAACATTTTGAATGCAAAAGTTGATATTTGCTTTTATAATAGAAATATATCCTATTAAACACTCGCATAAAGACATTATCCCTCCAAGAAAGTGGAAAAGAAAAAAGAGCTTGTTACTCGAATAAATGGACAAGAGATCATAGCGTACCTAGCACTGAAACTTAACAATGCATTTACTTGTCATAAATTTGTCACACTCGATATATATAAAAGGTTTAAGCCATAATATTCAGTATTTCAGCTGGTGATTTACCACCAAAACAATCTATAAGGTAATGCATGTGCCAAGAGAGATTTCTTTCCAAATAAACGATAGTGCACATAGACATCTCTATTGGATACATGCTGAAGAGTGACATAATGAAGTGTCACAAAACTACTATGTCAAATCTAAAAAGTCAAGAGCAGAAACACTATAAAATTCCTGCAACTAACATAAAAACAAACAGATCTTCTCATCTAAGTTTATGAACAAGTTATAGATAGAAGAAAGGTACTAAAGAGACTGTCACCAAACAGTTGATTTTTAAGACTATTATATATCATGCTATGCAGAATCCACAAAAGTTCAATAATGATACTGAAAACAGACCCATATAAGAATGCTCGCAAGCCGCTCTTAAGCCTGTCATATATGAAATATATGGATGCTATGAGCGAAATGGCCACTTGAAGTGTTGGCCCTTCTTCCGTTGGAAAGAGAACAGTGAGTACTCCAAGAACAATGAATGCAGCCGCGGTCTTCAAGATGATTTTCATGGATGGAGCTTCAAATCTACTTGTGACAGCCTTGACAACACGCGATTGTGTAACCTCCCTTACTTTCTTCTTCAAATTTATTTTTGGACTCCTTCTATCATATAAGCTCTGCATAATTATCCTGTCATGGGCTGATTCAATTGCATCGACACTTGGCTTATGTCCAGCATATTTTTTCACTAAAAAGTTTCTAGCAGCCTGAATTTCTTCTTCAGATGCTTCTTTGCTTATTCCCAGCCGCTTATATGGGTCTTTTACATGAATCCTAGGGAAGACAGCTGCAGAAAGAGATAATTAGACGTTGGTTAAAGAGCAAAAGACCGCTCAACCGGAACTACAGATTAAATGAGTGATGTACACAAGATAATAGACCATAAATCTATGATTTATACTTCTGGCACCAGGTTCTCACAGTCCATATCAGCTATAAATGTCTCCTTTCTTTGAAAGCTTTAGGAAGGAAAATAAGCTTTACACACCTATTTTATCAATGCTAGATACTGACCAAGGGATTGATACTGGTGTTAACAAATCAAATATCCACATTGTTGTGGCTTGTCCATAACGTTCACGTTGGAAACTAGGCAACCTAACTACTTCAATAAAATCGAGCTACTACATATTGAACAGAGGATTGATAGTAGTGTTTAAAAAGATGAAATATCCACGTTGTCCAATATAGTCATATTGGAAACTAGGCAACACTTGCATAAAATGGAACAATCACAGCTGGTTAAATCATCCTACAGCAGATAATGCGTTAGAGCAGTTATCTAACACTGTTTCAACACAGTAACAATTACAAGATAGCACACATAAAGCTACTCACAATTAAGCAGATAAAGTCATAATGATTCAGGAAGGCTACCAATTACAAGATACCATTTATGAGAAGCTGGATGTTTTCTGCGTCACTCGCAATATGTTGCCACCATGTGGAATTCATGTTCACAAAGTAAGAATTACAAATTAAAAATATCAAGCTATTCATGATAGAATAGACAAGCCTACTTAGGACAAGCATAATGATTTCTGCATTACTCATGACATATTCCCACATGTGGAATTCAAGCCAAAAAGGAACCGTAAAGCAACAAAGGAAGAAAGGTAAAGACATCTTACAAGATGAATCTTCAGCCATATCACCAAAAGATGCATGCACCAATTTTTTGGTTATGCGAGGCCTTCTCAAAATGTACACTTCAGTTAGAGAAGTTGCATACTTGCTGGCGCAAAAGATGGCATCTTTAAGAAATCTACTCGAATAATTGAAATTAATGGCTCCTAAAAAATAGAAAATCATTCATGCATTACCTGTCCTTGGAGGACAAAAGTGTAATCCTGTCTTTAAATCTTAGATTGCAGGGCAATGATGAAACTGACCGACAAAAGGAATTTGATGCTCTTATAGGCGTCACGCAACAGGAAATCCTCGACGGATTAGAAGACAAACAAGACACGGCCATATCTGCCAATTGCTGTAACAGAAGTCCTAGAATGAGATTTCAAAGACGAACAAAAGGCATACGCTTTGGCATCGACGGCGAAAGCGGCGCTGGAAGAGGGAGAGTAAGCACCTAGGGGAGGCTGCTTCTGAAGTTGACGGCCTGGCGCTGATGCCGAAGGACCAGGGGAGGCGGCGATGCGCAAGGTAAGACGCCGAGCGCGTTGCGAGGAATCCCTAGGCCGGCGCCTGAGGATAATTTTGATACTGGACCCGGAGTGGGATTTGAACGACCATCCAACGGATCCGAATCCGAAACCCGTTATATTTCGGATCCCGGCTCCGGGTATCTGGATCCGCGCAGAGGCTCCACGTCCACAAACCTTCGGATTATATTTAGTCGTTGTACATATTATATATTACGAGGAACTTTTTTTCCTAACTATTTCAAAATTAACATATATATATATATATATATATATATATATATATATATATATATATATATATATATATATGTGAATCATCAAATATATCCTTCTCTTAAATATATGGTACTATTTTAATCGATTGCGAAAAGCTTGACACGAGGGAACATGTGAAAAGGGGTTGGGAAGAGGTGCATGTGAGATTTGGTCTCTGAATCCTTTTTCCAATATTTGTTTAGGGTTTGGTTCAATTTTAATTTCCACCGCCCCTCACGTGAATTGGGCCACTTTGCCACTAATTTGGGCGGCGTCTGGCCCACCTGCCCGGGCAACGGTCGCGTGACGCGCGCTCGGCTCGAGCTCGGGGTAACTGAACGGACTAGACACGTGTCTGGCTGTTGCGTGGAGTCTACGTCTCGAGCGACGACGTCACCGTACGTAGGATGCGACGCTGATGATGCTTGGCGCATCAAGATTCGTGATAAACTATAAGCCCATATTGCAGGATGAACTTCAAAACGTGGTTTGTTTTTTAGATAAGAGATAAATGATACTGATGAGATTTAAACTCAAGATTTTACGAGAATTTATTAACATATTTATTAGCTAAATTAATAAAATAAGATAATATTATCTTCTGGCGCTGCACGTGTCTACACGTGAGCCTACCGCTGATGACGTTTAAATTTCGAACACCTGCGTCCTTCGAGAGGGTCGACGCTGGCGTGGGTGGACCAAATGGAGCCGCCGGTTCCGAAATCGACTCGGACCGCCCACCACGTGACACTTTGTTTGACTCGGCATAAGCCGCCCGGTTCAAAGTTATTCTCTCTCTTATCCAAAATGACCTGCCTGCCCCGTCTAAAGGACCCTCGTCCACAAAGAATTCCGTCGAAGAGTAGTGGTAATGGAGTAAAATTACTGGAGGAAAGCCGAGTCAAAACGATATGACGAGTAAAGTGCCAGCCGTCGCGCCAGCAAAACGCGTCATCGAAGGAGATTTATTCAAAAAAGAAAAGAAAAGAAAAATCATGTATAGAAGTTTCAAAAAGGAGAAACGAGATGTCCTTACTACGATGCCCTCGAAATTGGAACAAAATTACTGGATGGGGGGTGGGGGAGTGGAAAAGAACAAGGTAGGGGTAATGAAGAGCTGCAGGAGTACGAATGGAGTCCCATCACCGCAGCAGACGCTCGAAAGGATGAAGACAGCCTCGGGGCGCAACGCTGGCCTTCTTCTTCGCTTCCGCATTTGATTCCTTCTCTCTCCTATTTTGTCCGGATAATAATATACACGGTTCGGAGATGACACCAATCCACCATTGGCAGTGGCACTCCCGTGGTTTAGGTGCAGAAGGATGGGTAGAATTGAACATCGAACGCTAATCTTGATGAACTACAGTTCACATTTGAATCAAGTCTCACCGCTCGTCACTGGATTCCAAAAGAAACATTAGAATTAGCAGTAGTTTCTGAGGCAAGAGCGGGTGAAACATAAAGAAGCAAGCGCGTCCTGGAATTTTGAGTTGGCCATTAAACTGAGAGAAAAGTAGTAGTAGAAAGGGTAAACGGGGACGAGGAGGAACAGGGCACTGGTTCCGCCCACGGACTTGTGGCAGCCATTCAATGCACCGCCGAACGCTCATCCCTTGTTCATCCAGCTTCGAGGCAGCCTCGTCTCTCTTCTTCGGCCCTTGTTCCTTCGATACGCTGCCCCTTCGCGCTCCCCGGCCCGCGCCTGTCCCGCCCTCCGCTTGCTCCCACTCCTCTCAGGTAGGTTGAAACCGGAGGAAACATGATAAAAATCTCATCTTTGCTGGAATTGATGGTAAAGATGGAATCTTTCTTCTTTTATTTTCCATCTCTGCTAAATTTCATCCTAGAGTCCGAACCTCTCGTGTTTTATTCTTCTTTTCGGCGTTTAAGAATGGAGGTTTTAGGAAAGTTTGGTGGGTTGCAGGTAGAGGAGGGAACCGACATGGAAGCTCTGAAGCCTAGTTTAAGGATGGAGAATATGTACGCAGCGCAGCAGCTGCTGCAGGACCAAGGGGTTTCGAGCGAAGAGGCATGTTGGGTTGTCGAGCGGGGGAACTATTTGGGCGAGGGTTTCGCGGTCGACGACCTCCTCAACCTTGGAGAGTTCGCGGAAGACGAGATGCAAGCGGAGGAAGCCGAAGTGGGCGGGAAATTCGAAACGGAAGCCGGAGCTCAGCACACGGAGCCGGAGCGCTGCAGCTCGTATTCGTCCCCTCCTTCCTCCTCTTCGGCTCTCTCCTTCGAGCTACCGCCGCCGCCGCCTCTTTCAGATATCTTTCCAGTGAGTCTTCTCCTTCGGAAGGGTTCAAAGTTGGGATTTTTATATTGAGGGACAGATTGTTGATGCATTCTGAGTTCTGCTGTTTTGCCGTCTGCAGGCGCATGACGCTGAAGAGCTGGAATGGGTTTCTTACATCATAGACGACTCCATCACGGAGTTCCCCCCGCCGTGCTCTGGGGTTGCACCCCTCGCCCGGCATGAGAACCGGCACCCCTGCACCGCCGCACCGCAATGTCAACGGCCCTTCCTTCTGGGCCCCAGCGTCTGCGCCCTCTCTACGGAAGCCATGGGCATAGTGAAGGCCAAGCGGAGCAAGCGCTCGCGCAGCGCCACCGCCGCCTGGTCAAAATCCGGCCCTGTCCCCTTCGCCGACACCTCCTCGTTCTCCTCCGCCGACAACAGTACCACCACCTCCGCCGCCTCTTGCTCTTCTACCTCATCCTCCTCCCCTCTCCTCATACACGACCAGCCCGCTGGCGGCTTCGACCAAAGCTTCCTCATTTACGGCCACCACCCGCCGCCGCGCATGAAGCAGACACCGAAGAAGCGCGGCCGAAAGCCCAAGGTCCCGCCGTCCGCCGCACCCGCCGCCATCGGCGAGCGGCGGTGCAGCCACTGCGGTGCCCAGAAGACGCCGCAGTGGCGGGCCGGCCCCCTCGGCTCCAAGACCCTGTGCAATGCCTGCGGCGTCCGGTTCAAGTCCGGCCGCCTCCTCCCGGAGTATCGACCAGCTTGCAGCCCCACTTTCGTCAGCCACATGCACTCCAACAGCCACCGCAAGGTCCTCGAGATGCGCCGGAAGAAGGAAGAGGACCCCATCACCGCAGCCGCGCCCCCCGTGGTTTCCTTCTGATACCGGTTCGAGTCTATATGTCGGACTCCTACTTCCGTAACAGTTTGTCTGTAACGGCTTGTTTATTGGTAGCGGTTTAGGTGCTTTGGGTTGTATGTTTCTTTAGCTTCTGTAGCTTTGGATTTACTATTAGCATCTTTCTTCCTTTTATTGGGCTATACACAGTGAAACTATCAACTAAAATTTCTACGTTAAAATTCATTTGGAGCTCATTAATCCACCATAAAAGAGTCACCTCATGAGCAGTAAAGATGATATCACAACTCATTTTGCATGTGATAGCACGGTAACTCTAAAATTACCTCCTTACTGCAGACCGACGCAGATTCCATCGTCTAGCTTCTCCACCAGATTACATTTGTTTGCGTGCTTCAACTATTCCCAGCTTCTCCACCAGAGTGTAGCAGAAGAGGATGATGCTTGACCTGCAGCTCGGAGGAAAGCTCATGGTGTGATGATGATTCCTGGATGGCGAGCAATGTGCAGCAGCAGGTGGGGGGGTCTTACCACCATCTTCTACCTGAAAAGCTTCGAATGGACAGCGAGACTGCCTGCTGCTTACCAGGTGATGGATGATTCGTCTCAAACACACTGATCCAAGAGCTCTTTTGGCCCTTCCCTGTCGACTGCTTTTGATGATGGAGATGTAGCACAGCCTAGACGTCGCATTTGCTACAGCTTGTTCTATATATATATATATCTGTGTTCTCCTCTTCAGTAACTTGCAGCTCTACTAGCTGCAATGATCATAGGGAGGTGTGCTATGAGTCACACAAAGGCTGATGTGCCGAAAGATGGCGTACGGCGTGGGTGATGGTGTTCACCTTTTCTTTGTATTGGTTTCCCTTTAATTTCTTTTCCTTTTCTTTTGATACAATTACAATTTTCGTATTTGCTCCTCCAAATCTAAGTTTAGTGTGACAGACTTCGATTGACTGCTTTACCGGCAAACATCAAGAACATATGCAACCTCATCCTCCAATAGGATGTATCCTTTACTGCCTTTGTCTGTATTCTGCTCGTCCCTGTACGAGTCATTGCTGCAATGCCAATATTCCTCTCACAAGAGATTGAGAGGCTGTGGACTCTTGCAATGATTGCATGCACCATCGTCCAAAGCAAGTCGTCCACTCAGGACACTTAAATCTAAATAACACTTTCCTCAACTTATTATGTTGGCATTAAGGAGTCACAAAACACTGTTGATAAAGCTACAATGATGCATTCACCAAAGAGAGAGAAAAAAAAAAGATATTAAGTTCGAGGGGAGGGAAGAACAGAAGGAAGTGGAAAGAGCAGCAAACTAAAGTGAACCAAATGATGTTGTCACACTGGATTCAATTAATTGGATGTATTCTACATTGTTATATCATAAACTAATACAATTTTGTTAGTATTTCTTATCCTAAAGAAACTTCTGTAGTGGAAATAATGCATCAGTTGACAAAAAAGGTCAATAATACATCAATGGAAATGCTTCATAAGGCAGACGTTAATACCAAATATTCCACGTGTTGTTGAATTATTGGGTATATTCGGCTTCTCTATGTTTGTGCTAAATAGCCGATCCACGGAGTAGCATTATCAAACAAGAGAATAATTATGGGCCGTCGGATTGCGAATTCCACAGATAATAAAGGAGTTTTGTGGGGTAGTGGAGATTGATCGTGAGGGTTCGATGCCGACCCCCATCCTCTTCTCCTGCTTCTTTCCAATCGGCTGCGTCTTTCTCAGGTACGAAAACTCTCGCCCTCAATTTGGAAGCCTTTGAGTCTTACCTGTTCAGCGGATCTGTTCCTTACGGTGGAAATGTGGATCGGCAGTCGTGGATAGATCGATCAAGGTATCCGAGATTTCATTGCGAGGAAATTGATTAGAAATATGGGGTTTTTCTGGGGATTCATTGCTCCGTGTGATCATTAGGCGCTTCTCTCGGTGATAGACATGGAGGCTTTAGATCACATTTTGGTTATGGATGATCAACGGACCATCCTTAACACACCCCGGTCCTCAAAATCGGATTTTTGAGTGTTGGCTAATATGAGACCAGGTGGAGTTTGTGAGTTTGGGGGTTTCAGGTGTTAGCATGGTCAGGGCTTTCATCCAACTCAATTTAATTTAATTAGGTTGTGGCCTTGCAATTGATGTCGTAATTAGGGAGGATAAATGATATGAGTGCTCCAGGATCTCCATATGCTCATGTACTGGACTTGTCTTCCATTGGCTTCTAAGTTTCAAATGGTATATATTGAGGTTTTTGTATCAGTCCTTGCCAATACAGATTGATCATTTGGATCAGGTCCCAGAATCAGATATCATCTAAGTTTCAGTTCTATCCAGGATGAACATTTTTTGTTAAAACCATTGGGAATCACTGGTACAGATTGATTTAAACAATAAAAACCACTGGGAGCATCAAAATATATCCTGATTATTTTTTGCCACTAAAAATTTTTATTATTTAGTGGCATCTTTTAATTAAAAATTATCAGTCCCAGTTCAAATTGCCAAAACCATTAAAAACTGGATTTAGCCCAAACTTGCAAAACCACCAAAGTTGTTGGAACTGTCACTTTATAAATTTATATATCTTGGTCTCCTAGGTTTGAATTGCTTGCAAATTTTGAAAAGATGGCCTAATATCAACAAGTTTCGAGTGTCGACATTGTTCTAGCAGTAGATAACATGAGGTTACTATTTCGGGTGCTTTTTAACTTGGGCATAAAGAATCTATGCAAGGCAGCCAAATGTCTGAAAAATATAAGGTATTGGTGTAGGAGCAATGCTGATGGAGGCTATTATCAACTAGAGAATTTCAAATTTTATTTAGACTTGAAGGAATGCCCAAATTAATGCTTCTTGAAATTTTTGCCCTATCAAGCTTGTTGGTCCCTGGTAACATAAATAGAGATTTTCAGTCCATTGGCAATGCTGATGAACATGCCTAAGGTGCAAGGCCCACTGAGGCTGTAATCTTCTGCCTCACCTAAACTAAGCCTCAATGACTTTGAGAAGGCATATGCGCCTCATAATAAAAAAGCAGACCTATGGTTCTGATGATACTTAGAATTGGATTTTCTTTGTAAGGACAAGATACTTATTTATTCTGTTAGGATTTTCCAAGAGTTGAAAATAAGAGAAACTCACAAAGGGACAGTTTGCCTTCCACTTCTTTTAGCTAGAAGGCAAGAAACTCATCTTATTATGTTGTTGCTACTCAGCCGTTTTTTTTCATTAGCTTTTTTTTACTACTATTAATTAGTTTGATAGCTTCTTAGCCATCCCTCCTGATTTTTAACCTTTTGTTTTAATTGTCATATTTGCTTATGTTTGCAATTCTGAAGAACAGATTTTATTCAAATAGCAGTTGGACTAATATGAATCAATTACATGATGGACAGTGGATGCTTTTTCTACTGCTATATTTTGAGAAATCCTAGTGAACTAGAAAGAACTCAAGCCTAAGGATCTTGCAGATGTCATAAAGACTTGATCAATGAGCTTCGGTTACCTGTTTCTGATTGAGATAACAAGTGGATCGTTGTATACTTGGACAGCAGCATGAACTTGCTTGGTTATTGCAGTAAGCTCTAAACTGTCCTGATTCTATCAATCCTAACTTCTGCTTTAGTATGTGCTGCATCTTGTGAACATCTCAACCAGTTATCTTTCACCTGAACATCTGGCACAGGCTCATTTATAAAATTCATGAACGAATTTAATGCATCAAGCATAAGATACCTAAAGTAGGAAATCTCCTTCCACCATATCAAGTTGATTTAGAACAGAAAGAGAGAAGTAGAGAAAGATAGAGAGAGAGAGAGAGAGAGAGAGTAAGAGAGGAGTTAGATTAGTTTAAGATGTCTAAAGTAGGAAATCTCCTTCCACCATAGTAAGTTGATTTAGAACAGAAAGAGAGAAGTAGAGAGAGAGAGTAAGAGAGGAGTGAGATTAGAGATTAGAGAGGAATGAAAGAAGTTAGAAGAGAGAGGATATAATTTTTTTTCATTTCAAATCTGAAGTGTCTTATTCATTGACAAGCTCCGGTAGGGGCTTAGGAGTCTTAGTACAATCAATGTAAGCAATGATTCCCAAGAGTAACCTCTTAGGTAACATATACGTCTCTTAGAAACTCAAAATGTGATTTCGATGAGACCTAAATAGCTTTAAGATAATTTATTACAGCTGAGAAGAAAAAGAGTGCACTTAGTACAGATGTAGAGTTCCAAGGTTAGCACATAGAAAGAGCAAAAAACTCTTTAATTTTTCACACAACTCTTAGAGTTTATAGGTCAACTAATTAATAATTTTTTAGTTGATTCTTTTTTGTAGAATAAACTCTTATGAAATCCTTTATAAAGGTATATGGTTCTCCATCATTCTCTCCATGTAGAAAAGAACTCGATCTCGACGAGTGATCTTGCAAGATACTGGTTCAATAAGTTTGACACAAAGTTACGAAGTTCTTTCAAAGTAATTCAAGTAGCATCAGAAGCTAGACAATCATGTCACTTAACAAAAGTGTTGTGTGATGATAGTAGCAGACATAACTAGGTGGTCATCAAAAATAACCTCCATGTTATCCTTGTGTCATGGGAGAGTCGGTGCTTTCGGAGGATTATCACCTGCAAGAAAGGTTTTTAATCTCGTACCATATTAACGTATCGAACCTTGCTCAGTACAGTACAGTATGGTATCGGAGTACCAAGTGGTATGCCAAGGCGTACCGAGCGATATGCTAAGATTCTAGCGATCGGATGCAGGTTGGTTCAACCATAGCGACCATCAGATGTGGGTTAGTTGACTTGACACAATCGGTTAGGACCCGTGACCCGCAAGGTGCTGTAAGACATGGGATCGGCCCCGTCCAACCCTTGGGCCGCGTCGATGCTCTCCATCACCTTCCATGTTGATACCTACTGCTTGGTTGCCCTCCTTCGTCGTTGTCGCGTCCCTCCCAGCGAACTCCGTCACCCTACCACGCACATGTCCGGCCTCGAGACGCACAACCCCATCCCTCTCCATCACTTTCTCCTTTCTTCTCTCTCT